GAATTTACTTATTATATATCTTTTTACAAATCGAAATGAAAACCGAATGAAAAAAAATCTTTTCATATTTTTTTTTTTTTTGTTGCCCCTCATAATACCCAGTAACAATAATAATAATAATAATATTTTAAATATAACAAACGAAAAACATTTTTTTAGCGTAACAAAATAACGCCCGATATTTTTTATGGTACTCAGTCAGGTATTAAGGGCAAAAAGAGACAAAGAGAAGGGAGGAAATAAATAAATAGAAAAAACTCGGTAAATGCTCCATTTTGAAAAGAGAAAAAAAAAAAAAATTTCGGTGAACGTTAATAGGATTTTAATAGCTGTGGCAAAAAAAAAAATAAAAATAAATAAATAAATACTCGGTCTTTTAAGGATGCGTGTTACGATACATATATAACACAAAATAAAATTTTTTTTTTTTTTTTTTGAGAAAAAAAAAAAGTTACTTAATTTGTATGTTTCCTTAACAAATTATGTAAATCATAACTATCCCTCTCTCTCTCTCTCTCTCTTTTTCGAAAGTATTTTTTTTTTTTTAAACGACTGCAAAAACCGTAATATTTTCAAATTCTTTGGGGGGATGAATTAAATCGTAATAAACGACAAAACGCACAACGAGACAAAGGAAAAACTTTCTAAGAGAAAACCACCGAATTAATTTTATTATTTATTACATTCGTTTAATTAAAATTTATATTTTGTTTCCCAAAACCATTTTGTCTCAGGTAAATACCAAAAGGGGGGAGGGGGGTATAAAAAAAAATTAATTGACCTCGCAGATAAAAAAAAAAATAATGAACAATAATAACATATCATAAGTGAAATGTCATAGTTTAATTAATTTCGTATTATTATTATTATCATTATTATTTTTTGTTATTCTTTTTACGTTTACGGTTGAACAAGTTTACAAGAACACACGAGTATTAAATTTTTTTAAATATGGATGACCATTTAAATATCTCATACTCGAAGAATCACGAGTTTAAAAAAAAAAAAAAACGGTACTTATAACTCGGCAAGATATGGTCATAAACCATACTTCTTATATTAAAAAAAAAAAAAAAAAACCGTTAATGCTATTCAATTTATAAATTTAAAAATATTCTAATAACCGGACAAAAACGTATCTTGCGTATAACAAAACAAAACAAAACAATTTTTTTCTCAAAATATATATATAATTAAAAGTTGTTTGTTGTTGTTGTTGTTGTTGTCGTTTATTAATATTAATAATATTATTTTATAATAAATGTATTTTTCTCACGTGGTTATTACACCTGATCCTCTTTGCTCATAATATTTAGAATTTTAAATTCATACGTTTTATCAACATTTTTTCATTTCACATTTTCCAGTGAAACATCATTTGTTGTTCAGTTCGCTGTTGTTCAGTAGTTTTTCCTAGACTGGATGTCAACAGGGCACTGTTGATGTTTTTTCGAATTTTATTTAGAATTTATTTTAAAAATTAATCCCAATTTCTAATGGATGGATGCCGCCACATGTTTTTATAAATCAACCTGTTTTCATTGAAATGTTTTAATCCGAGTTCAATTTGATTACCTTTTCTTCTTCTTTTTCTTCTTGTTGTAATAGTGAAAAATATTAAACCCGTAATAATATTAATAATAATAATAATAATAATAATTTTAAAGGGGCTTTTTTTAAAAAAATTTTCAAAGAATGTGGGTTGACCCACATGGTGAAATTTTTTTTTTTTTTTTAAAAGTTTAAAAAAAAAATTCTTTTTAAATTGCCCTCCAGCTTTGTATGGCTTTCAACATTTCCAAAATAACACGAAAATTGTTTTTTTTATTCTTGGCTATTTCTATTTTTAACCTCTTGTTCATGTTTTTTTTTTTCGGCTTCTTCGACTGCGATGTGTTTTACTTTTGAGTTATTCTCTCCATTCTTCCCTTTCGATTTTCCAGACGAATCTCGTCGCAGGAAATGCAATATTTGTTCAAATCAGAAAAATATTTGTTCTTGTAATTTTTCTTCTATCATTCCACGCGAATTTAATTTTTTTTTTTTTTTTATATGCGTGAAATTGACATTCTTATATTACAAACTATTTATCTTCTTCCGCGATCTCTTTCCGCCATTTTTAAATCTCCTCTTCATGTGATTTTTTTTTCATTCTTTTTATTATTTACCATTGTTGTATAGTTATTATTAAAAAAGAATAAAAATAACGTAAATAATAAAAAAAAAAACAAAACAAAGGAGGCCAAAAGTTCACAATGTAATCAGTGCAATTTCGTGAGATTTTCTTTTTTTATATAAAATCCTTTTATCATTGTAAAAAGAAAAAAGTCTACAACTCAAATAAAAGAATTTTTTTTCCCCCCGATTGTTATGCAACATGTGAAGAAATAAACAACAGTTACGAATACAATCAATGTACCCAACAACAACAAACCAAACAAATTTTGGGGGGAAAAAATACAAAATTGTTAACAACAATGTAAATAATATTTTAATATTCAAATCGTATAAATTTTCAAGTAAAAATGAATCCCCTTTTATAAATCCCCGTTAAATAAACAATTAATTAACTTTTTATTAAACAAAAAAAAAAAAATTAATTAAGAGTTTCAATTAGTCATTTTATTAATAAATAACTTGTTTTGCCCCGAGTATCACTTACGCACGTGTTTAAACGCACGTGTTAAAACGCTCGTTTTTTTTTTTTTGTATAATTTGTAAATAAATGTCACCGGTGGTTGCTTTTCTTTTCCCCGCCCCGCTCCCTCCCCCCTCCCCAGGGAAATGATCTCCATACTTTTTCGTATACATGACACATTTCATAAAATGTTTAAATATATTAAATTTTATTAAAATCGCATTAATCCTTTTCACGTTAAAAAAAAAAAAATTATAAAATTTCCGCGGCGGAAATTTAATAATTTTAATAATTTACTTTCACCGAAATACCCGTGCATCTCTTTTATTATCGGCTACAAAAAAAAAAAGTTTTTACAAAAAGTTCATTTTTATAATGATTTAAATTTACTTAAAAAAAAAAAAAATTACTTTTACAACGATTCATATATTATTACCACCTTCCATTTTAGTTATTTAAGAAAAAATTATTATTATTATTTAACAAAAACGAATAAAAAAAAAAAAAAAAGGATTGAGGGAATGTTTGTTAATTATTCCATAAATCGACTTTAAATAAAAAAAAGTAATTAATGAGTAATTATTATCGGGAAAAATTATTCGTATTGTTTTTTTTTTTTTTTTTTTTAGCCGCCATAGTGAAAATATTTTTTCATTATTAATATTTATTTAAATTTTTTAATAAAAAAAAGTGAAATTTTTATTGGAAAATCATTTTTGAAAAAAATTTTGAATATAAACTGAATTTTTTTTTGGCAGAAGAAGGAGAAAAAAGATGATTGAAAAATATTCGGTAGAAATTTTGAGTAGAAAGTTATGATAAAATTTTCTTTTAAATAATTCGAAACTTGTTGATTATTATTATTATTATTATTAAAACTATTTTAGCCGAACGGATTCGTTACATTTAAACAAAAAAAAAAAAATTATTAAGACAACAGAAAAACAGGCAAAAATTTATTTCCTTAAACGAAATATTAAAAAAATCACGACGACGTGAACACAAAAAATTATTATTATTATTATTATTATTTCCAATATTAAATACGAATAAATAATAATAATAATAATTTTCTTTCAAGATGAACAAACGAAACTTTCGATTTTCATTTAAAAAAAACAAAACACACAAATCAATCATCGTTATTGAGGAAACAAACAAACAACAACAACGATAAAAACAATTGATCGACACAACAAACAAACAAAAGGAATTTAATTATTTATAATAAATGAATGGCAAATCAAATTTACAAAGATTTTTTTTTCAATGACGTTAAGGTTTTAAAATTTTCTTCATCTTCTTTCCCTTGTCATTGTTTGTAACGGGATTTTGTTCTACTCCTTATTATAAAAAAAGTATGTCACAATTTTTTTTTGATAATCCAAATTATTTTTTTTTTACACGAAACTAAACATAGAAAATTTTTATTACGTATATGTGTAATCGTCTTTAAGGGAGTTTTTACAAAACAAATAATAATAATAATAAAAGTAAGAATATTAATATTAATATCGAAATAAGATACTTAAAAAATACACGAAATGAAATAAATTATTCTTATTTGCGACCCGTGAGAAACAATTAAGCAAATTAGCACTTGTTTAATGTAAATTTAAATTTAAATTTAAATTTAAAATACATTTTTCTTTACGAGATTACTTAAAAGATGATTGCGACGTAATTTATACGCGCGAGAAAAAATTATTAACCCAAAATTGTACATTTTGAAAATGTAATATTTTACATATTAAACAAAAAATTTTTTTTTTTCGAAACGTTTTCCAACGGTAAAATTGTAAACGGTAAAAGACCTTGATACATTTATTTTTTTACAACAAAAATAAAAGAAAGTGTTATTATTATTATTATTATTACTTTGTACTTGAAAAAAATTTTTTTTAAATGGTTGGTAGGAAACGCACGCACTAATACTTTTCTCGTGTTCGTTTATCATGCCCTGTTACTTATACAGTTTGATACAATTTCCCCCTTTCCCCACCCCGATGTGTAAACACACGAGAGCACAAAACTAAACCTCTTAAAACTTATTAATAATTGAATAGAATACGAATTCAAAAGTCTAAATGGATGAATGATTAAAAAAAAAAAATTATGTTTAATTATAAGCATTTGATGATTAATAAATTTATTAACACGATATCGTTAATAATAACAACGCCTACATAAATAATAAAAAACGGAAAAATCTTATGTATATTGAAAATAAAGTATTTCAAGCTACCGCCTTAAACGACCTTTAATCTATTACACGAATCAATCTAATCAATAATCTATCGATTGGAAAATCCAACAGGAAAAATGATTTTATTTTATTTTCAGATAATATTTTAGCAGAAGAATGAAGGCACGATATTCTATATTATTAAACTCCCTTATTTATTTTACATTTATGCTATTGGATTCAGGGTTTTGCCAATGTCCTTGGCATCGGGATGTTCAAGATTTACAATCATCTTGTTTATGCGCTTACAACTTGGGACAAGAACTTTCGGTTCAATGTGATCAAGTTGATTTTACAAAACTCCTTCAAGCTCTACAAGATTACGGATCATTAATAACCATAGATTTATTATATGTAAATAATAGCACGTTAAATGAAATTAAAAATAATTCTTTTCAAAAGCTAACAGTGCATAATATACAATTATCGGGGTGTAAAATTAAACACGTACAACCGAGAGCGTTTTGGGGCCAAGAAAACACATTGAAAAATTTAAATTTACAAGAAAATGAATTAACTCAAGTGCCAACGGAAGCTTTGAAAAATTTACAAGCTCTCACTCTATTAGATTTATCAAAAAATAAAATAACAAAAATTTCCGATGGAGCTTTTGCCACATTAAATTTATCCACGTTAAAATTATCGGACAATAATGTCTCTCTCGCTCCCTTTGCTTTTCGCGGTTTAGAAAATTCATTAAAAAATTTAAATTTGAAAGGAACGAAACAAAAAAGGATACCCGAAGCAATTAAAGGTTTAAAAACTTTGGCTTTTTTGGATTTGGCACAAAATGCTTTAAGGGAACTCCCGGGACCCGCAATCGGAATCATGGAAGGATTACACTCTTTAACGGCCTTAAATTTAGAAAGAAATTTAATTCAAAATATTGGCTCTTCGGCCTTCAGTGGAGTAAATGATTCATTAAGTTCTTTGAGTCTTCTTAATAATTTAATAACGGAATTCCCAACGGAAGCCATGAACAGTATGTCGGAATTAAGGGTAAATATATATAATGGTTTAAAATTTCCCCCCCCCCCATAATGTCCGACGTGTTGTTGAAAACTCCATTTAAATTTTTCAGGTTTTAGACATCGGATTTAATTTGCTTACTGATTTGCCGAAAAATGCATTTGCCGGAAATCCTTCTCTCACTCTCCTAGCATTAGACGGTAATCCCCTTTCGACCGTTCCCAAAGAATCTCTCATTCATTTGAATCGCACACTTAGGGGACTCAGTTTAGGGGGTCGTTTTTTACACTGCGACTGTAAGCTTCGTTGGATAGCTGAATGGATAAGAAAAGGAGATTTACAAGTTACGAGTAGAGAAAGAAATCCGCAATTTTGCGGAAGCCCCCCTCATTTGAAAGATCGTGGTTTTTACAGCATCGAACCGACAGGTAAGGTTATTTATCTTAAGTAATTTATTTTAAAATTAAACGGGAAAGATTCCGATAATTAACACTGATTTTACAGAATTAATATGTCAAAAAGAAGAAAACGAATTCAAAAAAGGAGTGGCCGTCATTGAGAAAGCTGATTTAGATGACGTCATAAGACCGAATCCGAAACCCCCCGTTTCAACTGAAACGGAACAATTACCAGGAAGTGGTGTAGTTCACGAATACGCACCCCCTTCGTCTTATAAACCAGCAAATAGTAAGATAACGATCGTAGACAAAAATCAATCGGTAAAACCGATTTCACAAAAGACGACGGTTAAACCAATAACCACTCGGACATCTCTAAAAACATCAGTTCTGCCAACTAAACCTTCAACAACCGAAACTCGTAAATATGTTTTACTCATATATATAAAATTAAATTTGTATTATTGAAAATTTATATGTATGTATATAAATCTTCATTAATAATGAGTATTTTAAATTTTTATTTCAGAGTACATTTCAACAACTAATAAACAAGTCGTTACGTCAACGACAAAAACTACTTTGAAAAACATTGTATTCAGTACGTTACAAAACTCTCAAACATCTACAAGTACTCAATTACCAAAGAGTACGAGAAAATATTCTTTTACAACAAAAGCTACACCACCCACTTGGAGAAATACTCAAAGACCACCTTTGGTGATGGCTTATCCGCCACGAACGAAACTTTTTGATGAAGATACCGTAAGCCCTTTTTTATACCAAACTCAAAATAATTATTATTATTATGCTTTTAATTAAAATGTTTTTTTATTGTAGGAAGTGATCGTTAGAAACGCATACAGACAAGATAACTCGGTTATTATTCAGTGGGATTCCGAAACGGCAAATATTCTTGGCTTTAGGGTTGTTTACAGGCTTTTTGGAGATAAAAGCTTTAAACAAGGACCACCCCTAGAAGCCAGCGAAAGAGAATTCAAAATCAAAAATGTACCATCTCAAGTACGTGCCGTAAATAAGAATTTACGTTGGTTAAAATTATCATTATTATTATTTTTAAGAACGAATGTCATTTTGTTTTTTAAAGGAATGCATTGTAGTCTGCGTGATTTCTCTTGAAGAAGTTAACGTCACCCCGGAATCCGTGCCTTATTCCCAATGTCGTGAAGTCAGAACTGTAACGTCACCTGCAGGTTACATGGACAAAATAACCGTTGCGGCAAGCGCAGCTATTTGTGGAACTGTCATAATAGCTGTAGTTGTTTTTGTCGTCGCGAGTAGAAGGAGGTCAAAAAAAAATTTTAATTTTTTTTTTTAAACTTACAATTTAGACCTTCTATGTACTTATACTTTTTTTTCTTTCAAACAGGTCGCGAAAGTTACAAACTTTACATCCGACAAAACAAGGCGTATCCGTGTCATCATTGCCTGTTCAATGTTGCACAGGTTTTGGAGCTTCTCCAAGCCCAGGGGGACCACTCTCTAGTTTAGCAGCCCTAAACACATTTAGTAATCATAAAGATTGGGATCAAGTTTCTGTTTACAGTAACCGAAGCATCCCCAGGCCGCAAATGTATCATATTGAAAGACAGGGTTAGTAAAAATTTGTCAAATTCTTTTCAAACATTTTCTTTTAAAAATAGAGTCAAGTAGAGTAGTATTTATCGTGTATGTAATATTGTTAATGTCATAAACATAATAAAATTAAAAAATGTTTTTTAAAGGTTCTTTAAATGCGCGATGCTCTGCGGATGACCTTCGATCCCACGTTTCGCACGCCTCCCATTTTAGCACCAAAGGTCTGAAATCGGCAAGATCAGTCGCCGATGGTCAATCGCAACACAGTTTTTCAAATCATTCAACGCGATATTTGGGTTCTAATGGTTTTAGCAGTAACCTGGTTAACCCGCGACCAGGTTGGTAACGTTTGGGGCTTGTAAAAAAAGCACCGTCGTTGTACATACACAAATCCCAATCGTCCGTAATTTACTATTTTTCAGAATTAAGACAATCCAGGCAATCCCTTGCTTCAATGACTGATCGAATTTCTAGACTGAGTTACCCCGCTTCTAATAATCAACAACAGTCGCGACATCGTCCGAGTTCGCGACAAAGAATTGATCCGATGATGGGAAGACCGGGTAGCCGATACAGTACTGCCGGCTCTACCCACACGCTTAACAATTATTGTGAAAATTCCGATAATTGGACTGATCACGATGTAGACATATACGTACCAAGAAATGTAGGTACAAGAAATGGATTTATTCCCTTATAAATCCTATCGGTCTCGAGTCTAAAGTTTTTTTTTTTTTTTTTTTTTTTGGTCAAAAACTTTTGTTTAACTTAAATTTAGAACTTTTGGCTTTGAGCAAAAAAAGCACGAGTTGGCATTTGTATCACAGCACACAATTAATATTTAAACACATTTTCAACAATTTAAAATTTTGTTTAAAAAAAAAAAATTAATAATAATAATAATAATATTACTTTTCCAAAGATATTAAATCAAATTGAAAATTATTTATCGACTGTGTACAATAAATGTAAATAGCCTTAGTGTTTATATATATATATATTATTTTTTTTGTGAGTGTCAATAAAAATTAATTGTAGTATTAATGATAAAAGAAATTCTCCATATATGTATATAATATAAAACCATTCCATTATTGACGAAATGTTTTTTTTTTTAAAGTTATCTATACTAAATTTAAAGTGTAATTTTAAAAAATTATTTTTAACACTATCTGATATATATTCATAATGTGTAATTGCCATATCATCCATTTTTAAAATAAAATAAATTCATAATTATCTGTTTGTAATTTTTAAATTTATTCTGAGCTTTGATGAAAGCTCAACCCAATTGTTAATTATTTTGTATTAATTATAAAAATTCTTATAATATGTTTGTTTCAAAGTTGTCAAAAGAATTATAGTTCAAATAAATATTGCATATTCATATTAAATTAATTGTTTTTTAACCTGCACCCTAAGGCTCCATTATTTCCTTAAAAAAAAAAAAAAAATTTTTAACTCACCCAGGTATAAGAATTCCATTTTCCCAACGAAACCTTAATTCTTGTGTAAATTCATACCAAAAATAAGCAGCTGAAGGAAGACTTCCAAGGGAATGTATGACGTGAGCCATTGTTATTGCTAAACGCCAAAGAAGACTGTCGTAAGGAGCAGTTTTCATTCCAATAAGTTTTTTCTAAAGAAGTGAGATAAAATACTTAACATTTGGTAAATATATACATAATTTAAAATTAGAGGGACATTATTTTTGCTTACTCTTATATTCTCAAATTTTTTTTCTTCAATGTTGCAATCGGGTGAGTATCCTCCTGTTGATTCATTATACGGTGCTTTCTAGATACAAACAAACAAAACAAAAATCTAACCTTTAGAATCGTGGATCAATTGTCAACAGACAAACAATTAATGCTTTCGATAAAATGATATTAAATAATTAATATCTTACTGTATTTTGGTCAGCATCCGGAAATAAGTAATACAAGAGCGTCATCAAATCGTCAGAAGAAATTGGTTGATCTGAATTTTGAGAATATCTTCCGCTTTCTTTTTTCGCGGTTTTTTCTCCACCGATAACGGCTTTTGAAAACGCTGATATTTTAGATTCGGTTAATGCACTTAATGAAGAACTTATTTCACTTTCACTGCTAAACTTTTTTTGAGAACTGTTTCCAATCAAGTTTCCCAATAGTTCTTTAATAGTATGCTTATCTTCTGTCAAAGTCAAAAATTCAATGAAGTAATCACTTAGTAAACAAGATGGATTTTCAATGGCTCCAATTGAAACCTTCCAAATAGGTGCATGCAAAGGTTCCAAATCGGAATAATTTTCACAATCTACTACAAAGTTCTCTGAAAATGAAGGCCATATAGCACAAAGAAAAAGTTCATTGATAGAATCATAAGCTGATCCAAAAGGAAGAAAACCCACTTTGGAAACGAATAAAACTTCTCCTCCCAAAAAATCTAAATCAGGAGGTTCTTGACTCCAATTATCAATGGTCCAATTTTTTAAAATGTATGTAAAATGAACGCTCACTGTTGCCAAATTTTGAAAAGATCCTGAACTTATTTTCGACTTAAACATTTTAAGTAAGCCTAAAATAATCAAATAAATAACGAAAACTTTAGTTCAAATTAATTTTTGAAAAAATAATTTAAGATGAAATTCAAAATGATATGTAAATTTGTATACCTGTTAAAAATTTGCAATGTAATGGAATTTTTTTTAAATGAATCATGCTAAATTCTGTGCAATAATAACTAGATTGATAAACCCCGATAAAATAATTTTGCCATGGTTCTAATGCTTGTAGGAATATTGGAACTTTACATTTAACATTTCCAGCAGCTATAGATAATGAGCTCAATACAATTTTAATTCTGCTTTCAGAAGCTACATTTGAACTGTGTTGAGGAATAAGAACCAAGTAATCCCTTAAGCCATACCATCTAAAATCATAAGATCAAATTTTTTTCAAAATAAAAAATTATTGTAATAAAAAATATAAATTCTTATTAAGGTCATATTTAAATTCATGTAAAATTATTTGATTTTGTAATTTATATTATTTAAAATTTTTTATTTCTAATTTTATGTTTAATGTAGGTAGGAAACAATGACAATTTTACTGAATTTAAATACTAGGACATACCTTGCAATAGGATGTGGGTTTTTGTTTAAAAATGCATTATTAATAAAATCATTTTCAATAGACAATGTATCCATCACAGCTTGATCTGGCTTTTCTTCTTGTTCATTATGGTTATCATCATTTTCAATATTTTCACATTTTAGGTAATACCTTTTTAGAGTAAACTCAGCTTCTAAAAGTTATAGTCAAGTTCTATAAAACATAATCAAGCACAATAAAAAAAAGAAATTCCTGTAATTCACCTGCAAAAGTTAAAATTTCAGAAGAAATACGCCATTCCTTTGTTTTAAAATAATCTTTTTGTAAAGGCTCTTCCAAAGGCTTCTGATGTAATCCCCATTCTTGAATTATTTCTTCTAATCGAGCTATAAATATTTCAAACTCTGACGCAGTTGTAAAATCATAATGATATATATCTTCATCCATATTTCTTTCTAACTACTTTCATCATCAAAAAAAAAAAAATTAAAATTAAATAAACATACGTTAAAAACGTTCTGCAAAATAAAAGTTTAACTATTATTTCAATTTATATTTAAGTTTTTTATAAAATTATAATACAAGATGTGACAGTATGTGAATTTCGGTAACGATTTCACAAAAAAAATCACAGTTGTCAAAAATTCAGTTTTAAAGTATATTCAACATAACTTACATTTTAAACAATGACATATGTCTCTAAAATTAAAAAAATTTTACTTTAGAGTAACTAAGTAATCATTAGTAAAATTACAGGTTTAGTGCAAGTGAAATTCTTGCAAATTGTATAATTAATTATAATAAGGGATTTTAATACATGAAAAGTACATAATTTAAAAAAATTTTTGTTACCGTGTCAGTAGAAAAAATACAGTGCCAATAACCTGTAAATCTACGAGACAATGTTATTGATGTTGACGTGTAAGTTTAGCAATATAGAATATAAGTTTTAATGGTTTAATTTTTCTGTAAAATGTTAACAAAATTTGAAACCAAGTCAGCCAGGGTAAAGGGCTTAAGCTTTCACCCTAAACGCCCCTGGATTTTGGCCAGTTTACACAACGGAGTAATTCAGCTATGGGATTATCGTATGTGTACTTTACTGGACAAGTTTGATGAACATGATGGCCCGGTTCGTGGTATATGTTTTCACAATCAGCAACCCTTATTTGTATCGGGTGGAGATGATTATAAAATAAAAGTTTGGAATTACAAGCAAAGACGTTGCATATTTACACTTTTGGGGCATTTAGATTATATTAGAACAACTTATTTTCATCATGAATATCCCTGGATTTTAAGTGCTTCTGATGATCAAACCATTAGGATATGGAATTGGCAAAGTAGGAACTGTATATGTGTCTTGACAGGACACAATCATTATGTAATGTGTGCTCAGTTCCATCCTAGTGAAGACATAATTGTGTCAGCTTCTCTTGATCAAACAGTTCGTGTATGGGACATTTCAGGATTGAGGAAAAAAAATGTGGCTCCAGGCCCAGGAGGTTTAGGTAAATTTAACTGTAATTTTTAGTATAAATTTTTTACATTGTATAACACAAAAATGATTAATTTTTTTTGTTTATTTATGCAGAGGAACACCTAAGAAATCCAGGAACTACTGATTTATTTGGACAAGTTGATGCTGTCGTTAAACATGTTTTAGAGGGTCATGAAAGAGGAGTTAATTGGACATGTTTTCACCCCACAATGCCATTAATAGTTTCTGGTGCAGATGACAGATTGATTAAGTTTTGGAGGATTAATGATGCCAAAGCTTGGGAAGTGGACACATGCAGAGGCCATTATAATAATGTTTCTTGCGTTTTATTTCACCCCAGAAATGAGCTCATGCTATCTAATTCAGAAGATAAGAGTATCAGAGTGTGGGATATTACAAAAAGAACTTGCCTTCACACTTTTAGAAGGGAACATGAAAGATTTTGGGTTTTGGCTGCACATCCATCACTAAACATATTTGCAGCAGGACACGATGCAGGAATGATAATTTTTAAATTAGAAAGAGAGAGACCTGCTTATGCTGTTTATGGAAACATGTTATATTATGTTAAAGGTAGATTTTTAAGAAAGTTGGATTTTATTACTTCCAAGGATGTTGCAGTAATGGTTTTAAGAGGAGGAGGAAAAGTTCCAATTTATTGCATGTCCTACAATCCGGCAGAAAATGCTGTTTTATTATGCACCAGAGCCTCCAATGTTGAAAATAGTACCTATGACTTATATTCAATACCCAAAGAAGTTGATTCTCAGAATCCTTCAAGTCCTGAGTCAAAAAGATCTACTGGTATTACTGCTATATGGGTTGCAAGAAATCGTTTTGCAGTATTAGACAGATCACATTCACTTGTTATAAAAAATTTAAAAAATGAAATCACTAAAAAAGTTCAGACACCAAATTGTGATGAAATATTCTACGCCGGAACTGGTATGTTGTTGTTAAGAGATTCAGATGGTGTTACGCTTTTTGATGTTCAACAGAAAAGAACTTTGGCTCAAGTTAAAATGAATAAATGTCGTTACGTCATATGGTCATCTGATATGTCTCACGTAGCTTTACTTGCAAAACATACCGTTAATTTATGTAATAGAAAACTAGAATCTCTTTGCTCCATTCATGAAAATACAAGAGTTAAATCTGGTGCTTGGGATGATAGTGGCGTTTTCATATATACAACTAGTAATCACATTAAATATGCTATTACCAACGGAGACAGTGGAATAATTCGTACGTTAGATCTTCCAATTTACATAACAAGAGTAAAAGGAACTCAAGTATTTTGTCTTGACAGGGAATGTCGTCCAAGAATTTTAAATATCATTCCCACGGAATTTAAATTTAAACTGGCATTAATTAACAGAAAGTACGAAGAAGTATTGCATATGGTTAGAAACGACAGATTAGTCGGTCAGTCGATAATTGCTTACCTTCAACAGAAAGGATATCCTGAAGTTGCTCTACATTTTGTCAAAGATGAAAAAACACGTTTTAGTTTGGCTTTAGAGTGCGGTAACATAGAAGTTGCGTTAGAGGCAGCTAAAGTTTTAGAAAATAAAACTTGCTGGGAAAGGCTGGCAGAAGCAGCACTGAGGCAAGGAAACCATCAAATTGTTGAAATGTGTTATCAAAGAACAAAGAATTTCGACAAATTATCTTTCTTATATCTTATAACTGGAAATTTGGAAAAGTTGAGAAAAATGATGAAAATCGCTGAAATCAGGAAAGATTTATCGGGTCAATACCAAAATGCTTTATTCCTTGGAGATGTTGCAGAAAGAATAAGAATTTTAAAAAGCTGCGGTCAAACATCGTTAGCTTACTTAACTGCTGAAACTCACGGTTTGAAAGAGGAAGCTGACTTTTTGAAAGAATCCATTGATACCGAAAAATGTGGATTGCCTCAAGTGAATCCACAAGCGGTATTATTAAAACCACCCATTCCTATAATGCAGGCAGAAACTAATTGGCCTTTGCTTACCGTATCAAAAGGATTTTTCGAAGGCGCTATGTTATCAAAGAATAAACCTGGTGCTGCTAATTTTGCTGCTGATACGGTTGAGGATTCTGCTCCTGATGGTTGGGGCGCCGATGCAGAACTTGGTTTAGATGAAGGGGGAGAAGTCGACGATGTAGAAAAAATTGAAGTTGGTGAAGAAGGTGGCGGAGGCTGGGATGTCGGTGATGAAGGTTTAGATTTACCAGAATTAGAAGCCTCTGCTTCTGCAGGGGCAAGTGGAGATGGTTACTTTGTGCCTCCGTCTAAGGGTGTTCCACCAACTCAAAATTGGGTTAACAACTCTCGACTTCCTGTCGATCATATTTTAGCTGGTTCATTCGAATCCGCATTTAGATTATTACACGATCAAGTGGGTGTTGTTAATTTTGAGCCATTTAGAGATTTATTTCTAAATACTTATAGTCGCTCAAGAACCTCATTTAGTGCAATGCCTTTACTCCCGCCTTTATTCGGATATCCCTTGAGAAACTGGAAAGATTCTGGACCCAAAGGAGGACTCCCAGCTTTAGGTTTAAAACTGTCAGATTTAGTTCAAAGGCTCCAGGTTTGTTACCAACTGACTACATCTGGAAAATTTTCGGAGGCCATCGATAAGTTTAGAAAATTACTTTTAAGTATTCCTTTGTTGGTGGTAGACAGTAGACAAGAGATTGCAGAAGCTACTCAGCTTTTACAAATATGTAGAGAATACATTGTGGGTTTAATGATGGAAACAAATAGAAAAGATTTACCAAAAAGCACACTGGAAGAACAAAAACGACTGTGCGAAATGGCTGCGTATTTCACTCATTGCAACCTACAACCCGTGCACCAAATTTTAACGTTAAGAACGGCATTAAATTTATTTTTTAAATTAAAAAATTATAAAACGGCTGCATCTTTTGGTAGAAGATTATTGGAATTGGGTCCAAGACCGGAAGTTGCAACTCAAGCGCGAAAAATCCTTCAAGCCTGCGATAAAAATCTTGTGGATGAACACGAATTAGTCTATGACGAGCATAATCCTTTCTCACTATGCGCTCGTACATATAAACCAATTTACAGAGGAAAACCGGAAATAACATGTCCCTTATGCGAAGCCAGTTATTTTCCTCAATTTAAAGGTTCCATTTGTAACGTTTGCGCAGTGTCGGAAATAGGAAAAGAAACGATCGGATTAAGGATAAGCTCTTTGCAATTTCGTCAATAATAATAAAATTCAGTAACTGAAACCGTTGATTTTAACGAAAAATAATTCAAATTAATAATATGGAAATGAAAAAATTAAGGATAAGTCGCAATAGAATTTAAAACTAAGTTTAAGTTTTTAAAAGGAAATTAATCCTATTGAAAAAATAAACATTATTTTGCAAGAAATTAATTTAAGTAATTTTATTATACTTTGTAATATTTAAACAATAAAAAAAAAAAAATAAACTTTTTATGTTTGTTATGATAAAATGATTAAATAAAAACTTTATAGAATAAAATTTTGACTAATTGATGTACTAATTGATTGACAGATTTGAAAACTTTTCATTTAAAAATGAAAATTTATTGATGCTTTAAATAATAATAATTCGTTCGTTTAATTCATTCATTGCACGTTTATCTGACTGACAAAATGATTGCTATTAAAGAACGCAATATTCTTCTCCTGAAATAATAATAATAATAAATAATAAAACTTTATTTTAAAGGTAATTTTTAAAAAGTCAGTTTAGCATTTAAAGTCTTTAGGCATATTTTTTTTTGTGCTACCTGTTGCTGTTTGAATCCATTTTAAATAAGATGAAACTCTTGTATTAACGCTCGGATGTGTTGTCCCACATTGAATCCCGTAACTTACTAAACCCAAAAGGTTTAATGCACCCGTACTTGGATCGGTCCATAAAATTGGGCCACCAGAATCACTCTATTATTTAAAAAAAAAAAAAAATTTATTAAAATTAATTACGATGAATGGGAATTAATTTTTTAAGGTACCTGACAAGAATCTTTGTTTTCTCCATAAGTACAAATTTGTCGTTTCGATACCAAATCACCGTACGAAGGCCTGCATTGTTTTACGGAAATGACATCTAAAGGAACGTGAAGTAATTTGTTTGAAGTCGGTCCTCCAAAACTTGTTGCTCCCCAACCTGAAAAAAAATTCAAAAATCAATTAGAAAAAAAGTAAAACTTGTGATTCTTTACATTTACTTCGATGCATTACCTAAAGCATACACTTTTTCCCCCACAAATGTATTATCGATATTTTTAAATGGTAGGCATACTGGACCTACTCGCATGTTAAAAGAAATTTTATTTTTAATTTTTACTAAAGCTATATCGTTTTTCTGATTTGCCGTGTCGTATTGTGGATGAACCCTTATCGAAGAAGCACGATAAAGTTTGGCACTGTCCGTATCATTCCCTTAAAAAAAACAAAAAATCTGTCTCATTTGCAAGGCACTTTAATGGTGAAAGATTAAAATAGTCATGAGGACGAAAATTCTTTACCTACTGAGATATCATGATCCCCAACCAATACGGCTAAACTTCGAGCTTGCCTGTCCCAAACACAATGAGCTGCTGTCACTACGTAAAAATTAGATATAATTGTTCCACCACAAAACAAAACTCTTAAATTACCATCTACTAAACCGGCCATCATCGGGTATTCATTTACTCCTGTTTCAACTCCTCCGACTATTCTAACCTGCATAATTTTGATTAGTTTTGTTTAGTATTGGAAAAAATTTGTAATTTTAAATTTGTGTTCTAATAAAAATTAGATTAGCGACACTAACCGAATTTCTTTGACCACAAATACATTTTTTAACTGGTGACTCGTTTTGAATTATTTTTACGGTACAAAAAAGTGACCCCACTTGGTTAGTTACAGACCAAAGGATAACGTTTAATTTATTTCCAACCGAGGTAACGTTTAATGTTCCTTCCCCACAGTAAAATTTAACATCTTTCAAATCGATTCTTCCTTCAAGAGACACAGCAAATTTATCCTGTCTGCAGTTATCACTCTGATAAAAAAAAAATTTACAATTTATATTAATTTGTCAAAAACAAAGGATTATTTTTTTTAAAATTTTTCTCTAAAAATTTTAAATTTACTTACGACGGGAATTTTAACAACTTCACATTGAAGAGAAATTTTATTTTGAACAGGAGCAACTGCATACCATCGGCATTTCGTACCTGAAATATTCTTTATTTTAAATTTTTTTTTTCGAAACTATTTTGATAAAAAAATTTTCCATTCACATCATAAAATAAAACAATTTAGTTCGTACCTGGTACATAATTTTCGGGATAACCAGGTGAAAAAATATGATAAATTTTATTCGGTTGTAAATCTTGATAATAATCACAATTTTCAAAAATACAATAACATGTTTTAACGAAAAAAATTATAAGAAATACTATATGTTTAAAAAAAAACATTTTCCCTGCCATGTTAAAAAAGTTCAACTATATTTTTTTCAAAAACATCACTTCTATTTAAATTTATATAACGATATTATTACAATGACAGATCGTTAAACAAATTCTGTTACGTAAATTGATTGTTTGAATTGTTTTTACAAAAAGGACAAAAAATATGTCAAAGTTAAAAGAAATTTAATTATAAATTCAATTTATGCATATAATATGTCATAAAATTATTTTACGACTTTTTAATGTAAATTAAAATTATATTTTAATTACTTAATTATAATTAAATACTAATTACGAGTGTCACTTCCCTAAAATTAAATAATATTGTATTTAAATTACATCACTTCATTGGGATGAAAAAAAAATTTTCAATTAAGTAAAATTTAGTAAAAAAAATAAAAAAATACATGTACCTATATTGATACCTATAAAAAATACATTATCAAAATAAATGTAAAAACAAAAAAACAAAACAAAAAAAAAATCATTATAAAAAAAAAACGTTAAAATTTTTTTTCGTGTATGTTTCATGTTTTGATAACGACAAAGTTTTAATTAATTAAATAAAAACTTTTTTTTTTTTTTTTTTTTTCAAAAAGAAATCTTGAAAATTTACTAAAAATTACCTTTGTATAAAAAAAAATATAAAATCTATATATTATGAGCGTTAAAAAATTTTTTCTTTACCGATAATAATATTCATAATCCTCTTCACCTAATTCATTGTCATAATCACCTAAAAAAAAAAAAAAAAAAAAAAATTATATTTTATATTTATAAAGTTATAAATAAGAATATTTTTTATTTTTTAATGTTAGAAATAAGAATATCTACTGTCTAATTCTACTGATTCATCCGCATCATCATATAATGGTTGATGCCACCCATAATTCATTTTTTCATAATTTTCATTGTTATCAATATTTACTACTGCTTCTTCTTCTTGCTCTTTTGGAAAAAATCCAAAGAAATCATTTCCATGAATTATTGGTTCACCTAAAAATGAAAGAAAAAAAAATTTTGTCATTTACATGGTACATAAAATTATACTATTTGTCATAAATGTTATACTTTCTTTAAAAAAAATAATAATTAATATTAAGATAACATTGAAGATAAATTTTACCTGAAATATGTAGTAGTAAGTTATCAAGAAATAATCCGATAAATGATTTACAATATATAACACCACTTAGAATTCCAGCAAAATGGCCCATAAATGAAGAATTTGGAACCAACATGTGAATTATGATCAACTCAACCCAAGCAGCATATTTTCCAGGAATATCAACACCGAGCAACATTGCTCTAATATAAGGTTCTTCATGAGTAGTTAAAACTTTTAGAGCAAAAATCACTCCTAAATAAATATTATGTTTTTACATATTTTACATAAAATAATCAAGTATAATTTTAATTACAATCAATCAATCCTGAAAAATATTAATTTACATAGTCTTAAATGATTTTTTACATAAGTCATAATGAATCACCGAATAAAAAATATGAATTTCAGTAAATACCTGAAAAGCCAATGGCACAAGAATCCATATATGAAGTAGCTTCCATAACATTTGACATTATAAATGCCAGTATAACATACATTAGACTAGTGACTATGGTTAAAAAAGTCAAAATTATAGCAAAATTTTTACTGCCATATCTGGCTTCTAGTGATCGGCCTTTAATAAGAAAAGAAGCCATATTAAAATATAAATGCATGTCATCTCCGTGTTCAACGGCAGATAAAAACAAACGTTTCCAGTCTTTGTCGTTTATGATGGAATTGCCGCTAATACACACTTCTTCTTTTTCCCACGGTACATTTATGATTCCCATATATAATAAAGTCTGTTGAATAAATATTAAAATTTTTTTAAAAAGGAAAAAAAAAGTTTATATTATTTTTAAAAATTAAATTCACAATTACATTTAGAATTTTACCTGGCCCAAAATAGCTCCAAGAGTAACTGGAGGAATGTTTTTCATTCCAAATATTAATAATTCATTAAATAATAAAATCAAACCTAATTCCAAACCGCGTCTTCTTCGTCTTGGAGGCATTTTTTTTTTCTTTTTGTAATATTACATAAAATTTAATTTAAAAATTAATAAAAGTAAAAGTTCCGGTAATAAAAGTCAGATTATCATGTTTTCGAAATGTGTTTGTTTAGTTTCGGTTAAGAAACTGTAATCGTGGAAACAGACTGCTAGTGACACTATTTAAAATCATTTTGCGTAATGAAGTAAATATATTACTGTTCAATCATTACAAAAAAAATTGTTGTGAAAAAGTGATTTTCACGAAATTATGTGTTAAATACGAAAATCAATTTCTGTGAGAAAATTTTATATTCTTTGAGATTGTTATTTTCGGTACACATTTACATGTAAAAACTTAATTTTATAGTAATATTTTATGTACAATATTTAATGTTGTAATAATATTATTTTTGTAAAATATTAATTTTGAAGTTTCAAGTACATTCGGTAAATTTGCTTCTTCTACTACAGTAATACTCTAATTCAAAATGTCCGAAAGAAAGGTTTTAAATAAGTATTACCCTCCGGATTTCGATCCGTCGAAAATCCCGCGTATGAAATTAGCAAAAAATAGACAATACACGGTACGATTAATGGCACCTTTCAACATGAGATGTGCTACCTGCGGTGAATATATTTACAAAGGGAAAAAATTTAATGCAAGAAAAGAAGATGTCGAGGGAGAAGATTATTTAGGAATTAGAATTTTTAGATTTTATATTAAGTGTACAAGGTGCCTTCAAGAAATTTCTTTTCGCACTGATCCTAAAAATACAGATTATGAAATAGAAGCTGGAGCCACTAGAAATTTTATGGCTTTAAAACTTGCCGAAGAACAAGCTCAAAGAGAGCAAGATGAGAGAGTTGCTGATGAGGCTACCAATCCGATGAAATTATTAGAAAATAGGACCAAGCAATCTAAGCAAGAGTTAGAATTGTTAGAATCATTAGAAGAATTAAAAGATTTAAATAAAAGACAAAGAGCTATTGATTATGACTCAATTTTATCTCAATATAATGTCAAGAGTGAAGCAGAACAAGAATTGGAAGATGAAGAGTTCATTAAATCGATATTTAAAGATAAACCTGTAAAAAGTCAAAATAATACAGTTGTCGAAGAAATTATTGAAGTAATTTCAGAAGACAGAAACCCATTAAAAAGAAGATTAAATAATCTTGAAACTGATGGTAATGCTAAAAGTTTAAAAAAAGATGAGAGTATTTCTAGTAAATCATCTAATTCAGAAAGTAATTTAAACTCATCGCCATTAGCATCATCATCATCATCGTCATCACCATCACCATCAATCAAAACTGCAACTTTAAGTTCAAAAGTTTCAAAACCATCTAAGGAGAGAAGTGTTGGTGGTTTATCACTTTTAAAGAAAAACAACTTGGTTAAATTAAAACCAAAAAATACATAAAATTTTTTTAAATTTGTAAATGCTAAATGTTTATAAGAAGTAAATGTTTTTTATTTCAATTTTATTGGAAAAGAATAAAAAATTTGCAATTATTGACTTTAATTTATTTTTAAACAGAATAATTAATTTTTTTGGGTAATAACAATGTGTAACTTTTTAAAAAAATATAATCGATCATTAAAAAAATAAAAATTATTTATTATAATCATGTCTGATTCTTTTATTTTCCTAAATAACGTGCTTCGCTAATAAAAAATGTACCCAAATTGTAGTACCCAAATGCAAAGTAGTAGAATTATGAAAGACAAAGGCAATTAAGATGTCAAAAAAAAGGATGAAAACTTGGGACAATTTCTTTTTAAAAGGATGAGTTGTTATTAAAAAGAAAAAGAAATTAATTTTTCGATAGTATGTAATATATAAATAAAAAAAAAATAAACGATTCAGTCTAGATTGTACGTCTTAAACTAAAACCTTATAAAAATAATACTTAAAACTAAACTAAAAAAAAAAATTCTTTTTACAACTCATTACATTCTTTGTGTTTTTTAGTACTAGACTCTTTCTCATCTACCAAACTTCGTTTTTTTCCTTCAGATAAAACTAAATTAGACTCTGATTCCGTTTGTTCTTTTTCTAAATTTTCTTTAATTATTTCTTTGTAAATTTTCATTCCCATTTTTGTGAGATCCGTAGAAGAAAGGTCGGGATGTTCATCAGAGAGTTCTTTTTTCTTTTTACTAAACCACTCGACAAAAGTAGGATGTTTAGATTTCGATCCCGTGTTTTTATCCTTATTTGGATTCAATTTTAATTTTAACGGCTATAATTCATTAATTAAATCAACGTAATGTTTTTTTTTGTGGTATAATGATATAAATAAATTATTAATTACTTACCTTGTCTACATTGAAACAATTTTTTCCTTTTGGTTTTGAATTTTTTATGGTATCGAAATATTTTAAACCTTTTACGTTTTCTTTTGAAATTTCTGCAGATGATTTTTTGAATGGATTGTGGCTTGTTTTATGGGTATTAGATGAAGAAGCTTTTAGTGTGACGGTATCCGTTCCGTTATTTTCTGTAAAAAAAAAAAAAATTTAGATTACTATTAGGGACAAATACGAAAACCTCTATTTTAAAACTTAAGTAATGAATTAAAAATTAACAAGTTAACCAAGTTTTTTTTTTTTCAAACTAAGTTTCTAACCTTCAGATATTTCTTCAGGACAATCTTCAAACAAATCTTGTTGTGAATTTAAAGATCTTTTAAATTCAGTCAGTTGATCACAATTTTTTTCTTGATTTTCTCTTGTGTAAATAATATTGGGTAAAATATCAAAAGGTAAATCATAATTAAAATTCCATTCGGAAGGTTCTAGTAATTTCAATTTATCAGCCAAATAAGCTCTTCCTTGATTACTAGCATAACGAATGGCAACATCTAATAAATTTTTAGTCATGTACGTTGCTAAATCCATAGCTCTGAGATCTTCAGAATTGTTAGCAGCATCCTGGAAAAAAATTTATAGTTTTTAAACTGTGTTAAAAATTGATGAAAATATTAAAGTATATATATAAAAAATGAATTATAATTACAGCAAATAACTGAAGTACAACTTGGTTCATTGGTAATTCAAACTTTTTAAACAATTCATTTTTCTCAAGAGAAATTTTCCGCATCGTATGAGTACTAAACATGAGTCTCCAAAATATTTCTTCGTTAGTAGACTTCACATCTTCCATTTCACAAACTGGCATTTTCAATGGTATTTCTATAACCGTTGGATTATTTATTAGCAAAGGATAATGACTGTTTCTACAAAAAATACAACGAATGTTTTGATTCGTTTCGCTTAGTCCAACGATAAAATAATTATCCGATGTTGATTTTCGTTGATTTTTAGTATCGCATAAAACTATCCAGTGTTTGTAGTCGTGACCCAGAGCTTGTAATATTCCAGCCGAATCATACGAACAAGGTGTGCCCTCATCGGAAAATCCCAACCATTTTAACGTTGACTTTGGAGATAAGGGTAAAGTTTGAAAGTGAACATCAACTTTTACATAATTATTACAAATCTGATAAATTATAAAACCTAAATTTTGACACTCGTGCAAACCTACAAAAAAAAATGAGATGCTTAATGACTTTTAATTGAATTAGGGAATTAAGTATTTCACTTTTATAAATGCAATAAAAAAAAAGTTCCTCAACTGACCTATTCCAGCATGACAAACAACTAAAAGTTTTTGTTCGTAACCACTCATACATACTACAGGACCGGGTAAAGATATAATTTGCTTCTGGGTACCAGCATAACTGAAAACACGCAAAAAATTTGAACTCGTAGCGACAGCTACCCAATTTCCAGAAGCTGCAACGGCCAAAATATCTTCATTTTGAGGCATTAAAATAGTCCATTCTTTATTACCGGTAGACGAAGTTAAATTTACGCAAGTAAGCTTACTAAAAAAAAAATTTTAATATACTGGTAAATATTATATACATTTTTAATTTCTAATTTTAACTGTTAACATTAATGGTTTAAATACACTTTTACAAAGCAATTATTAAAAAATTTTCATAATTTACCTTAAATTATCATCTATAGCGGGTACAGCTAGACTTAAAACTTTGTCACTTAATGCCGCCATAGTACAAATTCCAAAACTTCTTAGAAATAGAGAATGATGAAATGTACTGTCGCTAAACTGAATATCTACAGTTTTATCTGAATCATAATATCTCACAATGCCAATTTCATTAAAACACTAAAAATAAAATTAAAATTTTTATGTCCAAAGTTTTAAATTATAAACAGCAGTAACAATTAACAGTAGTATACACATAAGTCTTTGCAATAATTTACAATTTACTTCTGGTTTTATTGAAATTAGAAAGGAATATCAACTTATAATAATAAATGGCAAGAATGAGGAGTTCCAACGTACAAGACATCGAGGTTCAAAATTTTTAGGCGTAGAAGACGGCTGAAACGGTTTTTGTGGTTCTGGTAAAAAAATTGCCGACTGAGTTATTTCTTTTAATTTATCCGAATTTATAGATTCTTCATCGACATCCCTACTATTTTCACTATTATTATCATCATCATTATCTTCCAAGCTATGCGCTGCCTTTATTTTTTCAATAGAATTTTCATAATCATTATTATCGTCGTTTTCATTATAATCATCATCCGCATTCAATGTAAGATCTTTGCTTTGTTCTTCGACAATTATTTCTGAAATTTAAAATTAATTTTAAAATTTTTGATAATGATTAATAATTAGGCTTAACTTTAGAACAATAAAAAATTAAATTATGCAAAATCATATGGAACCTTTATTTTTTATTTTTTTGCCTTCATTAAATTCAAAATTGCAACTGAATGCATCACATAAACCAGTTATAACACTTAGTCTTCCAAGTCTATCACAAAATAAAATTTCATCTCCATCACAATGCCAAGCAAGGCTGGAAATTCCAACTTTCTTAGGATCCACAAAGTAAGCTATTTCAATCTTTTTTGCAATTTCCCAAATTATTAATTCACCTGCGATAGAAGCTCCTACTAAAAAATTTCCACAAGGAGAAAATAAAACAATTGATAAATCCTGAAAATAATAATTTTACTAAAGTCACTAGGACAATATTTTTCGATGCAAAAATATCAAATTTATACTCAAGTTCTTATAAATAATTTAAATATAATCGCTAACTCGAAGAAAATAAATATAATATAATGACAAAATATCAATTTGTACTTACATTTTCTAAATTATTCGATGTCAATTTGCAAACTTCATCCCAAGATTCTCTTTTGAAAACAATCACCTCTAAATTTTTGGGCACAGCTAAAACAGCCCCTTTTATGCTTTTCCAGGCAGAACGCCCTAAAACAAGAGCTTTAAAAAAATCATTTTTAACTGGTATCATATTTTTAAAGTCCTTAACAACTTTTCCCATTGATAAATTCCAAATTTTTATCGTTCCATCACAGCTGGAAGATACCTATTTAAAAAAAAAAAAAAATTTGTTTAATAATTTTAACTTTACTTATGTTTACATTACACTGTATTAGTTGAATATTTAAATATATAGGGAGTTTAAAGTAGGAGTAAAAAACTAAAGTTACTTACCAAATATTCATCAGCAGGATCAAGTGAAATTCCTAAAACTGGTGCTGTATGGCCAGTAAGAGTTGTTATTTTATTACTATTAGTTTCTAATAATTGAATTTCCATGTCACTGCAAAAAAAATTTTTTAAATAAGTAAATGTAAAAATAAAATTAGTATTAACAATATAATTAAGTACTTACCACGAACATGCAGCTATAAATTTACCACTAGCACTGACACTGACTTGTGTCACAGGTGCTGAAAATTTAAATAATATATTATTTCTTTTTCTGTCCTCACATGAATAAGCAAGGACATAATTATTACTAGTAGCCACCAGATATTGGTCTTTATGACAAACGACAGAAAGAGCCTGATCAGCAACAAAATCGGAATTCGAATCATCATCGTTTGGACCATCCCAAATTCGAACATATCCATCACTCCCACAAGTGTATATGCGTCTAAAAAAAAAAAAAAAAATTGATAAAAATTATAAAAGTACAGTCAAATAAATAAAAATTAATAATTATCATACCTGTAATCCGTACTGTAACAAATGTCGGTATGTCCCGGGCCATGAGCATAACGTATACTATCGGTTTCTAAATTCATTGTGAAAAATATTTAAAAATTTATAATGAAAACTGTTCACATTCTTCGGAAATCGAAACAATTCTAAAGTTTAAGGCGCGAAAAATTTTTTAGTTGTCTGCTAGATCGATTGCGGCAAGACTTATTTTTTTTGTTTTTTGAAGCGGCAAATCTGGAAGAAAATGTCGGTTTTTGCATGATTGGTTTTTTGGTGTTCTAAACATAGATATTTTGAATTTTTCAGGAATGAATTCAATTTTGGGCCTTGCAGTTGGGGTTTGCGGACTGGCATTTTTAGGTTATTGTGTGTATTTTGATAATAAAAGGAGAAAAGATCCGAATTTCAAGAAAAAATTACGTGAACGTAAGTGTGCATCTCGTTGTAAATTTCAATTTTTAAACTATTTTTTATATACATTCAAGCCACTCTTAAAAATTTCCTACGATTATTTTAATGATTACTCAATAAATGTAATTGATAATTTTAAAAATTAGTACTGTCTGTCATGAATAGCTTATTTAGAAGATTTTAAACTAGGAAAATTTATTTCAATTTAAAATTTGCTTTCAGGTAAAGTTAATTAATTTTTTTTCTCCTAATAAATGTATAATTAGTTGTATATAAAATTGTAAGTGGCGTTATTTTAAATTATTTCACAGTGGGTAAATAAAAGAAATTATTGAAAACAGGCATCCATTTATTTTGTATTAATACACATGGTAGTTACATTCCATAATATTTTTTTAAGGTCGAAAGGCAGCTAGAGAAACAGAAGATGCTGCTATAAGAAATAAAATTCCACCTCTGAAAGACAATGAAGCCCTACAAAAGTTTTTCCTTGAAGAAGTACATTTGGGTGAAGTAATGTTGGCCCAGGGAGATTTTACAAACGGAGTCGAACATTTGGCTAATGCTGTTGTGGTTTGCAGTCAACCACAGCAATTACTCAATGTTTTAAGCAATACACTTCCACCTCAAGTGTTCCAGTTGCTTATACAACAAATAGCAATTACTGGTAGACAGGTAAATAAACCTATGAATGAATAATCAGTAGCACAATTATCGAAAACTACTTTTTTTACCTGATTTTGTAAATGTGTTAAAACCTTTAAATTGTATACAAGTTTGATAAAATAATAATTGTTTTTTTTTTTTCCAACATTTAAATTTTTTTTATTACATAATATAGTTATTTTTAATGTAAAGTACCAAGGAAAAAACATGAAAATATTCATTAGATACCACTAGTAATTATTAAAATAATTTTTTGTATAACTCTTAATTTAATAAGTAAATCTTTTTCTACCCCCTTATTATAATAATAAAAATTCTTTAAATGAAATCATTGTGAAACATATTGTGTCATTTAAAACTAGTTATAATATGTAGCTTTTATTAATAAAAACTAATGTTGTAGCGGCCTCAATCAAGCTTTGGTCCACAGATATTGGGATTGGCAGAAGAGGACGTCGAATGAGCATCAAAATAAATTTTTTTTTTTTTTAATCAGAAGACTAAACTTCAAGTTATTATTTAATTCTAATGTGATTATTTTCATTTTTATCTAGGCTTGCATTATTTAACAAAAGACTTATTGTTTGTTTGCTTGTATACAATGTGATTTCAGTACTAAAAAAATAGAAAGGTGATCTATTTTTTTTTCTTTTTTTTTTTAAAACCATTAATTATTGACCAGTGCTCATATTATTATCAATAATACAAATATCAACATTTGTTGTATTTATAATGAATATAAATGAAAAAAAAAAAAATGTCTTTACTTAATATTTAAACATGATACCGTAGGGTAAACATTATTAATTAAAGAATGTTTCGTTGTGTATGATGTTCAGAGTAAATTAAAAAGAAAGTAATTTTTTTTTTTTTTTTTGTTACCATCTTACATTAGAAATTATAATGTTGGAACACATATTGTTTAAAAAAAAAAAAAAATATTAGATAGTAAACTGTCCTTTGTATTAATGCTATTGCCTAAAGTTGTAGTCGAACAGTAGAAATTTTTGCTTAGAAAAGTGTTTAATTTTTATTTGATTTTTTTTTTTTTTTTTTAATTAATATTTATGGATATTCTTGTGGAAGTACCATCAATGAATATATATTAATTATAAAAATCATTAATAAAGTGTAGAAAATAAAAAAAATATATATATAAAAAAAATTTTTTTGTCTTACCAAAAACTATGAAGTCTATAAAGTTTTTTGGAATGGTAGTTTTATTAAAAAATTTATTTATTTTGCTAAAATGCAGAAAAAATTTGATAATAAAAAAAAAGTTTTGTTTAAATCAATTATTAATACAAAAAAAAAAAAAAAATGATGCATTTTAAAAAAGCTTTACTTTAAAAAAAAAAAAAATTTCTGATAATTTTTCTTTCTTGTTTGTTTTAAATTTAATATTGTAATTTTTTTTTTTAATTTAAATGTAAATGCTAACCACTAGTATTAGAAAAAATAATAAGAAAAAAATGTGTTAGATTTTTTGTTTTTTTTCTTATGCTTTTCCCTTTTTTAAAATTTTGGTGTAAATCTCATATTATTTTTATATTAAAAAAAAAAGAAGAAAAAAAAAATTATTTTTGATGCATACCTGATATATTTTTATATATATCTTCGGCTAATTGCATATATATTAAATAGATGATTGTTGAATTTAAAAAAAAAGATAAAAGAGTTGATTGATAGAGTTATTAATTTTGTAATTAATTTGTGTTTTCCTATTAAATAAATAAAAATTTATTTTTAAATAAAACATAAGTTGTAGAAAATTAAATAAATTTGTCGTAATGCAATTGTGGTGATTTTTCCTGTATGGTTTTGTAAAAGAAAGTAATATTTAAATCTAGCATTGAAAAAAAATTATTAATTAATGATTTTTTTTTTTTGTTTTCAATAATTTAACTATAATTTTAAAGTTTAAAAGCAGCTGTTGCTAGTGGTTTTTCATTAACTCATTATGTGTTCAAATAAAAAATTGTTTAATAAATATATATATTGAAAAAAAAAATTAGTTTTCAGGGACTGCTTTTTTTTTTTTTTTTTTTATTGTTACATTAAAATAAATTTTATGAATTTAGATTTATTTTTTAGTAAATAAAAAATAAATTACGTAATAATTAATAATAAAATTAAATTTTTTTTTGATATGAATATCATGAATTTTCCTCCTGAAAACAGTTCAAGTGTCATTTTTTGTTTTTTTTTGTATTTTAACCAAAAGGTAACAAACGTACAAAAATTCAAACAATACGTTTTTTCATTTATTAAAAAATTTATGAATGTAATATTAATTTTATTTTTGAAAAATAAAACTACAAATAAATAAATAAATAAATAAATTTAATATACTAATAATTATCTGTTTGAAATAAGCCTTTCTATTTATTTTTTTTCTTTGGGTGATTCATTTGGGATTTCATTTATTGATTTTGCTTCGCTAATTATATTCAAAGCTCCAAGTTTTATTAAATCTTGTGCTAAAAGTATGCCAAGATTTTCAGATAAATTTAAATCGTTATTTGAAATATTTCGAGCTGTTATTTCTGCATGACTTTCTCCCATAACTCGAGATTTTTTTCTTTAATCATAAAAAAAAAAGTAAATAATAGTCAATACTTTAAATTTATAATTCATATGTTAAGTAAAAACTTACCTTAAAGGTTCGTCAGAACTTATAGTAACACTTTTTGTTTTCTGGATGTGTTTCTCTCCATTTAAACTCCAAACAGCACCTGTCAGGTATAATTCTTTTTCTTCTAATTTTGTACTTACTGCTACTGGAGCAGAACATCCTCCTCCTGTAATTGAAAATGAATTAATATATTAGATAAAAATAAAAGGGGAATATATATTTAGTAATAATAAAAATGTAATAAATTTGAATTAATTATATAAACTTACCGAGTGTTTTTAAAAAACTTCTTTCAGCGATAACTCTTAAAATTGTAGAATGATCATTAAGTACTTCTAAAATATCTAAAACCTTTTCATTATTTTTGTTGCATTCCACAGCAAGTGCACCCTGTCCTACTGCATACAGCATTTCATTTGGTTCTAGTATTTGTGTAATTCTATCATCATATTTAAGTCTTTTTAAGCCGGCTGCAGCCAAAACTATTCCTGTATACTTATCACCTTCATCAAGTTTTTTAAGTCTTGTGTTTAGATTACCCCTGATATTTTCCACTTTTAAATTAGGATAATTTCTACATAGTTGAGCACATCTTCTTAATGAACTTGTACCTATCACACTTGATTCAGGTAAACTTGATACATTTTTAAAATTTAAATTCTTATTTACTACCAAAGCATCTCTTGGATCTTCTCTCCTAAAAAAAAAACCAATATGTAATTCTTGAATTTGTTCAATTTGTAATAATTTATAAGAAAAATGAGACTACTTTAAAATGGCTCCAATTGTAAGGTTAGGTGGTAGTGAGGTGGGTAAATCTTTTAAAGAATGCACAACAAAATCTACTTCATTTTTTTCTAAGGCTGCTTCTAATTCTTTTGTAAATAAACTTTTTTCTCCAATTTTTGGTAATGGTTTGTCCAATATTTTATCTCCTGTTGTTAGCATAGTAACAATGTCAAATTTCAAATCTGGGAAATTTTCCTTTAATTGATTTACTATTATTTGTGTTTGGCTTAATGCTAACTAAACATAATGTTTTGTTAATTTTTTTTTTTACATAATTTTAAAATTAAAAAATTGTAAATTTTTTTTATAGTTAACCTGACTTTTTCTCGATCCAACTTTAAGTAAATTTGAATCAGTCATTTTATTTTATTGAACTTTAAAACAAATTAATTTTATTTAAAATTTTTATTTTAAATATACAGAACCCAACGTGAAGCACATAGTAAAACCGTTACTTTAATATATAGAACATGCTAATTTATAACTCACAGAGCTATATTTCTCTGTCGTTAGGAAATCTAAA